CTCCTTTAGCAAGAAATGAACGCTTCTGCATAACATTCTAGAAAATTTATAAATATTATCATAAATGGCATTATATTTTTTTTTATTATATAATTTTCAATTATCAATAATTATTTTTTAAAGATCTTACATGTATCATGCGTGATGTTTGATTCAATTCTGAAGTATTTAATATTTCTGTAATACTATAGGGTACTTTCAATTTTGGTTCAGAATCAAGTGCTTCTATTAATGTATTTTGTTTTTGTGATTCATCAATTCGTCTTTTTTTCAAAATTTTTAAGCCAAATTTAAAAATTTTACTACTATTTAATTCGTCTTCAATTTCAGTATCTACATTTTTCTGAAAATTAATAATATGTAAAATAAAATGACTTATTCTAAATGATATCATTCAGATTAGAATTTATTTTACCATTTTTTCTGCTAAGAATTTTTCTCTTTCGTGTCGTATTTTACGCCATTTTGCTTCGTCTTCATCATCAGATAAATCTACCCAACCATCTTTATCTTCTAATGGTTGAGAATTATCATTATCATCTTGTTTATCTAAAAAACAAATAAAAAGTTAAATATTTTATTATGGATATCAATATAAATTATTGATATAAATTAATATATATAGATTAATATATAGATAGAAAAAATATAGATAGAAAATTAATATATAGATAGAAAAAATATAGAAATATAAGTTTTTTAAATTTCAGTTTACCTATGTTTCTCCATTTAAATTTCCTTTCTCGTGTGCTTTCACTAAACAAATCTCCATCCTCAAATAATAATTCTTGGAGCATTCTTACTTCTCTCTGATCTTCATCCAACAATTGTCTCATATGAAGTTTCCCTATTTGATTCTTTACTTTTGTTTCATCGATTTCTTCATTATCTCCATCTTCAAATTCCAATTTATCTAAATCCTGTTCATCTTCATCTGCAGATACATCACAATCACTTTCGCTAAGCTCTGCTTCTTCCTCTAAAAATTTAGCTGCATATTGTTTTATATTTTTTTTTGGAATAATTATTTCATTTTCTTCTGAGTCATAATCTATAAATTTTTCATCATCATCCTTTTCATCATCATGCTCATCATTACTACTTATTGCAGAAGAATCTTCTTCATCATCAGATAAATTTAATTTTTTAATTCTTTTTTTTGATTTCTTATTAATTTCTTCTTCAATTGAATCTTCTTCATCAGAAGATAAGATACGAAATTTATTCCAAGGTTCTTTTGATTGTTGTTTATCTTTTTCATTTGTTTCATAATATGAACAGTTCTTTTCATCAGACACTTCTGTATTTTGAAATAACTCATCTTTGGTGTCAACTAATTCTTTACCATTTGGTTGAGAACTAAAAGTTCCTGAACACAATTCTAATAATTGTGTTTCACTTACATTAGCTTCTTTTGCAAATTTGGAGCAAATAAATTTATCATCTGGAAATTTACCTGAGCATATTTCCATGAGATCCTCATCTAATACATTATCTTGACTAACAAATAATTTTCTTTGTAATGTAGCTTGTTTATTAAAATCTCGCATTTGATGAAATAAATCTCTTGTTTCTGCAATTTCTTCCGTTATTATTTCGTTTTCTTCTCCTACATGAGCATTTAGTGCAGTTAATTGTGTTATAGGAGAAATAAAATCTAAAGTATTGCTTTTAATTTTAGGTGTTTGATTTTGATATTCTAAATCATTTTTTGTATGTATTTGAAAAACTGGAATATCATTTTCATTATCGCTTAACTCATTTTCTTTAAAATTTTTATTATCTAATGTTATTTGAGAAAAAGAAGTCTGATTTTTAATATTTTTATTATTTTCAATGATTGAAGATTTTGAATCATCATCTAAAGATTCTAAAATCCGCTTAAATGTTTTATGTTTTGTAGATGCTTCATTGCTATCACAAATGCTATTTTCATCTTCATTTTCTGAAATAAGTTTTTCATATATTTCATCTTCTGAATTTTCTTGAACTTCATCTTCATCTTCATCTTCAATTTCATCACTATCGTTTATTTCATTTTCACTAACTTCAGCTTCATCATCTATAAAAATATTTTTTTTTTTCTCTTTTCCTTTTTTTATACACATATCATCTTCTTCTAATTCATCTTCTTCGGTTTTGTGAGATTCTATACTTGGAGAATATGGTTCATTGAAATTATCTTCTTCATTTATGGATTCATTCCACTCTATTTCTTGTTCCTTCATTTCTTCTTCTTTTTGTTTCCATTCTTCATTACGTTTTAATACCATCTTCTGTTTCAATTCTTCTTTTAAACGTTTTAACTTAGCTCCAGGTTTTTCTAATTTAGCATCTTCATTTGCTATATTTGATAATTTGTATGGAAGTGTTTCTTTAATAATTGATAATCCATTTGAGGATTCTTTTATTTGCATTGTTGTAAGTTTAATATCATTAATATGTTCTTTGGTTTTAGAATGTTTGCATATGAATCGATCTATCAAAGCACTTATTCCTTTCTTACTTGGTTTAATGTTATCTGATAAATCGATCACTGTACCTGGAATACCTCTTAATTTAGGTTTTAAATCTTTTATATTTAATAAAGTTTTCTTTTTAATAATATCTGGTGATTCATCAAATTTAGGCGGTGGCAAACCATATTCGTTATATTCATCAGATTCATCTGTCGTTATTCCTAAAGATTGTTTTACAATTTTTGCATAATCATTATTATTTTTTGATGTAGAAATATCTGAATGTTTATTTATAATTTCTGAATCATATTTATTATTATCAATATATATATTTTTTTCTTTATTTTTATTTTGACTAAAATCAGTTTGTAAATCTTCTTTTTCGTTTTTAGCTGTTTCACTTAATTTAGACATTACATTTTTATTCTCTATTTTATTGAATTCACAATGTATTTCTGCTATTTCCAAGTTTGTTCCATTTTTTTCTGTTCTATCATTTATAATTGTATTATTATATTTAATTTCCTTTGTTTCAGTTAATGTTTCACTAATTTCTTTCATTATATCATTTTTTTCTTCATTATTTTCTAGGACAGATAAATTATTATCAATAAATAATTTTCGTGAAACGTTATTTTTCTTCAGGTCTTGCATACATTTTATGTTCATTTCTTTATCTGTATTTTCTTTATTGATTTCTTTAATTTCGTCTTCTGAATCAGAGGATTTATAAAATATTTCTGCTTCTTTTTCTTTTTCTTTTAAAACTTCACTGTTTAAAAAAAATTTTTTAATTTTTACTGAATTTAATAAATAATTAAATTATAAAAAATACTTACTCAACAATAATAGAAGACATTTTTAATTTAGCTGCCATTGTAGGTGCTTTTGGAAGAGCTGTTATTACTTTTTTTCTATTTAAAAATTCTTGTAATGTTCGTTGTTTTGGTTTATGATATGGAAGTGAAATCTCTGTTTCTCGAATCAAACGTTGAGTTTCACTGTGTATTTGTTTCATAGCTTCTTCTTTAGAAGCTCTTAATGAAACCTACAATACAATATTATTTTTATGAACTTTATAAGTATTAGGTTGTTTAAAAAGTAATTTCGTTTTTTCACACATTTTATTATGAAAAAGAACGAAATTATTTTCTGAACAACCCAATAATAATTATCTAATATTTGCTTAAAAATATTATTATCTTAAAATAATAATTTTATATGTTATTTAATTTCTGAAAATTAAAAATTTTGATATTTTTCAACTTACTTTCTTCACTTTAGAATATTTTTCTTTACATTTTTTAATTTTATCATGTTTTATTGGATTTAATAGCTCTTCATCATCTTTTCTTTCTTCATCTGATTCTGAATCTATTAAAGTTTGAAATTTGTTTTTTATCTGTGAAATATAATATAATTATTTAATATATAATATAATTATTTAATATAAATTACTTATTTAATAATTAAATTATATATATTTTATAATTTATATATAATATATTACTTACACTGTTTGTAATTTTTTTTTTATTTGAAATTATTTCTTCGGTATCAGTTTTATTAAGAATATTATCATTTGTATCACTGTCAAACAATTTCATATTATTTTTATTTTTTAAATGATTTTTGTTATATTCAGAACTAGACATTTCATCTTCTGATTTATTATAAATAGATTTATTTTTATTGGAATTAAAAGTAAATATATTTTCTTCTTCTGAATCACTATCTATTATCTTGGATAATCTATTGTAAATATCATTGTTTTCATATTTATTATTTGCTTGATCAGATTCTGTATTTTTTTCTTTTACAGTTTTATTAACTATAATTTCATTATCAGAATAGTTATTAATTTCATTTTTATATTCATTATTTTTTTGATCAAACTTATTTTCTTCTGCAGTTTTATTATGTATTTCATTATCTTCATTGTCAAGCTTATTATTTGTTTCTATCAAAATTTTATTAAATGTATTATTTGTATCACTATTAGATAAATTTTTCATATTAAAAAATTTATTTTCCTCTTTTTTTGTAATATCTTCTGATTTCTTAACATTCTCTGATTCCTTAAATTCATATTGTACATTACATTTATTATTATCTGCATTATTATCATTATTTAAATCATAATTTTTATTCATTATTAAAATTTTAATTTCTTATTTGTTATGTTTGATATTTAATATTTATTATTTGATATATATTATGTTAACATTTATTATAAAAACATAAAATTAGAATGTAATAGCTATTGTTTTTTTATATAAATAATTTTTTTAAAAATGCAATTAATTGTTAAAATTTAGTTAAAAATTATATTTTTTTTAAATTTATTCACAATATTAAAATAGTATTATATTATGCAACTAATGATTACATACAACAAAATTACATGTTAATTACAGACCACAAGTGGTTCTTAAGTATTTATGTACTATCTATTTTGATCAACAAATTTGGCGCGAAAACATCAAAAATATTAATTTATCTTAAATTATCTATCACAGATGGCAGTATTAATATCATTTTAATTCATACATTCTTTTTCTTTTTTTTTTTAGATATTGACTTCTGTATTATTATTGATAATTATTTATACATAATATGATATTTAATGGATTTTTTTATGATTATTTAAAATAATTATATTTGAAATGTAATAGTATTATTTATGATTTACACAAAATTCATATTTTTATTATTTTTTTTTCATATTCACTAATTTTAAATATTATGATGTTTATTTTAATAAATCACAAAAAAATATTGTAATAAATAATAAATAAAAAATCTCATTATATTTATTATATAGATAAAATCACTATCTAGGGAATCATTTTGACTTCATTAAATTACTAGATTACATAGTCTCGAGAAAGCATTTAAACATCTTTCAAGTTGTTATAAGTTTTCGGTTGACAATAGTTGGTCGATAGATCAAATTGTTGACGTATTTTTTTGACAGTTTGTGACTACGTCATTATCGAAGAAAGTACTGTATCTGTATGTTTTCTAAATTATATATTACATATTTTTTTTAAATAATGAAATATAACTGTTATATAAGATATCTTTTCTTTTATTTCTAGGCATGGTTACGATGGGCGAACCCCTTACATTAGCGAATGGTAAATTTTTATAAGAAATAAATATATACACATATATATATATATATAATTTTACAATAAATAAGATGAATATGATGTATAATAATTTATTGTTTAAAATTTATTTTTTATTAAATTTCTTATTTTTATTTGCAGATGTTAAAAGATCTATTGAATTATTAGACAAATTACAAAAAGGTAATTGATTAAATGCATTTTAATTACAAAATATAATAGTAAGAAATAAGAATATTGTATGAAATATTATTGCAAAAATTACCTTGTTTATGTAGGTCTTCATAATGGTCATTCCTTCATAATGTTCTTGGTTTAATTTACTTTCATGTAAATCATGTACGTGATTTTATTTTAATAAAATTATTATTATAATAAATTTTCATTTAATGATTATAATTTTAATATTATTAATAATATAATGTATAATTATAGAATTTAATATTATTATTAACTATAGAATATATATTAACTATAGAATTTTTTTAGGTGGTGAAGTACCTGCAACAAAATTAGCTGCCTTACAAAAAGTATTGCAAAGTGATTTTCTTAGTGCTGTACGTGAAGTATATGAACATGTATATGAAACTGTGGACATTCAGGTATAATATATTATAATATTATTATTATTATTATTATATTGCTACATTAATTATATATAATTACATATAATTTATTTATTTTCTTTATTTTTATCAATAATAATAAAAAATAGATACATAATTTTTTAAATTGTGCATCTGAGTAATAAAATTATGACAACTTGAGTAAGAAAATAAATATAATATATAATTATAAAATATATTTATAGTAATATATAATATTTATAGTAATATTTTAAAAATAATGAAAATATATATATAATAAAAAACGATTAAGATTATCATATTAAGAATAAGAAATTTAATATGAATTTATAATTTTATTAATTAATAATTTTAGGGATCTCAAGATGTTCGTGCATCAGCTACAGCAAAAGCAACAGTTGCTGCTTTTGCAGCAAGTGAAGGCCATGCACATCCGCGAGTAGTAGAATTACCAAAAACTGAGGAAGGTCTTGGTTTTAATGTAATGGGTGGTAAAGAACAGAATTCACCAATTTATATTTCACGAATTATTCCTGGTGGTGTTGCTGACCGTCATGGTGGTTTAAAACGCGGTGATCAACTTCTTTCAGTTAATGGAGTGGTTAGAATTATTTTTGTTTCTTATTTTCTCTATCAATATAATAGATTTATCAATATAAAAAAGTTCAAATGAGTTCATATATAGTAAAAAAAAAATAAATAAATAAAAAAACTTGTATCTTGTATTTGCAATTTATCTTGTATCTTGTATTTGCAATTTATCTTTGTATTTAATATCATTATATAACATTTTTTAAATAAGAAAAATCTAACATTATTCAATATTGTATAATAATAATATATTTATATTAAATATATGTTTATTTTTCAGTGTGTTGAAGGAGAAAATCATGAAAAAGCAGTAGAATTATTAAAACAGGCTCAGAATTCAGTGAAATTGGTTGTACGATATACTCCGCGTGTTTTGGAAGAAATGGAATTACGATTTGATAAACAAAGAGCTGCACGTAGGCGTCAACATATGCAATAAAAGTAAAAAGTTGTTATATTCATTACTTTCTTTCAATAAATTAACCATATATATATATATATATATATATTAATATCGTTTTAATTTTATCTTCATTTTACATTATAAAATTGTTCATCTAATGACTTTATGAAAATAAGACTTAAATTAATACTTTAATTATTATTTAATAGATTTAAATTTAATAATACTTTATAATTATTGTAATTATTGCTGTTTTTTATGTTTTGAAAAAATATTGTGTATAAATGTTATATAGTTTTAAAAAATAAATTTTAAAAATAAAATAAAATCTGTTTTTCTTTTATTTATTTACTATTTAATAAATATTACATATGAAATACTCACATAAATTTATAAAATTAATTTTTTTAATCTCAATTTTTTTATTGAATCTCAATTGTTAAAATTAAAAATGATTAATAATTATTAATATCAGTTTGATAATTTTATATATTTTATATATTCTATGCTACATAATATGATAAAAATAGTAAATAATAGTAAAAAATAACGAAAGTACGAGCAATACAATTCCTATTTTTTCTTTTTTTAATATTACGTTTTAATGCTATAAGTTAGTATTATCTGCAAATAAATTTCTTACATAATTTCTTACATATATTTTATAGATAATTATTAGGTATGTATAAAAAAACTTAATATATTTTTATAAGAAGAATTATATAATTTATACATATATAATAAATTATTATTGGTTAGTTAACGAATTCTTATCTGGATAACAATATACTTTATGTTAATGTAAGAAACAAGATTGTAAGTAAAATTCGATGAACTATAACCTCTTGTTTTGCATACTCATTGTAAAGCATTTATATATAAGTTCAGATCGATTTAAACTCTCTGTTTTTAATTTATTTTCATCAGTATTGAATTTGCTATGATGGGAGAAGAAAAATTATCTTTCGTCGATCGAGTTGTTATAGTAACCGGAGCTGGAGCAGGTAATTTTTATTTTCTAATCTACTGTATATAATTAATTTTCTTTATATTTAAATTTTTTTCTAGGTTTGGGTCGTACATATGCTTTACTTTTTGCTTCAAGAGGTGCTAGTGTTGTCGTAAATGATTTAGGTGGAAGTAGAGATGGTGATGGAAGTAGTACTAAAATTGCAGATTCAGTTGTCAATGAAATTCGAAAAAATGGTAAGACAATATTTGGAATTGATTTATATATTCATAACTATATGCAATTCAATGCATTATATATATTCAATATATATAATATATAAAATTATAATATTTTCAATACAATCTATGAATATAATTTGTATATTCTTAAATACATATCGTATAAAATTCTGAAATTATATAAAAGATTTATTTTAGTATATTTTAATATATATTAATAATTATTTTATAATTAAAAAAAAATATTGTATTATAAATTAATCTTACAGGTGGCAGAGCAGTGGCTAATTATGATTCTGTTCTTGATGGTGAAAAAATTGTTAAAACAGCTATTGATGCATTTGGACGAATAGATATACTTGTTAATAATGCTGGAATTTTAAAAGATAAATCTTTTGCCAAAATGTTAGAGAGTGATTGGGGTATGTTATATTGTTATATTGTCAATTAAATTGTTATTTTTTTAGATTAAAATAAAAAGTTATATTTAATTTCAGATTTGATACAAAATGTTCATTTAAAAGGAGCTTTTAAAACAACTCAAGCTGCTTGGCCCTATTTTGTTAAACAAAAATATGGTAGAATAATTATGACAGCAAGTAATAGTGGCTTATATGGAAATTTTGGTCAAGCTAACTATAGTGCAGCAAAAATGGGTCTTATTGGTTTGACTAATACATTAGCTATCGAAGGCAAACAAAAAAACATACATACAAATGTGATAGTACCAACAGCAGCATCTCGTTTAACAGAAGATATTTTACCACCAGGTATGTAGAATATATGTAGGATACAATACTTAAAATTTATTGTATTTAAATACACTAATTTTGTCCGTTTTCTAGATTTCTTTAAAGAATTAAAACCTGAATTAATAGCTCCTGTAGTAGTTTGGCTGTGTCATGAAAAATGTATGGAAAATGGTTCTATTATTGAATCTGCATTGGGTTGGGCAGGCAAATGTAAGTACAAATGATTTCTATATATATATATATATATAGAAATATAATAAAGATTTAGTAAAATAATTTTATTGTGATCTAAAATACAAAATTATAAAAAATTATTAAAAAGAAATCATTACTAAAAATCTAAAAATGGAATTCCTGGATAATTATTATTAAAAGATATAAAATATTTTAAATATTATAAATATATGTAAAAACTTATATATAATTT